AACAGGAAATGGCAGGGACTAAAGCATTAGCAGATGTGGACCAGTCCAGCCTCCTCCTAGGACAGGCTGGATGGCACTAGCTGCTCCCTGGTGACAGACTGGACCTGCCCATCCAGTGGACTAGAAAATTTGGGTAGGGAGAGGGCAGCCCTGACCCAAAACTTCTCCCTCTTCCATCTCATTGCAGATGTGACAAGTTGTTTCAAAATTACTCCACAGGTACCCCTTGGCTACCTTCTCAAACCCTGGACAGAATTAGATTCCTAGACACCCAGGCAAGTAACCCAATTTTATTTTGTCAGGGGGCATGGTCCCAGAATCCCCTGATATGTTTCCCTTGAAGGAGATGGTAGGGGAATTTGGACCCATCTATATTCACAGAGCCTTCTTGTTAGTGGATCCTGAAGATAAAAGAGGGTGTTACAGGTCTCCAAGCAGTTGATCACCCCAAGTCTAGCCAGGGACTTAAGTCAGACACTGGTAATAGTGAACACATCTGTCAGCTTGATCCTTCGGGATCACCAGTGCTCACTGTCACCAATCCATGAGCTTATAAAATTGAAAGATTTTAGAGTCTAAACTTTAGAGTCTAGAGAAAAGCTTGTCAATACCTGTTCCCAATGAATGACCCAGTGGATGAAACTCACCTGGACAAATCTGTACTCTTTATAAGGAAGATGTGCTTTGGGTCTAATCAGTTTTCACTAGATTCAGCAGTGAGTCTCTCATCCAGTGTCAACCACTAGGTTCAGTTTTATAGAGGAACAAATGCCTCTTGTATTTACATTAACTTGCCATATACTCTTTGAACTCACCAAAAGCTGGCTCTGGAGATGCAGTCTGAGTTTCCTATGAGCCCCAAGCATGTTTCACCTCAATGTCCCCCAAAACCACCTTTCCTGGTTCAACTCTGTGACAGGGATAAAGGAGAGCCACAAACAGCCAGAGGGGGGGGGGGCATTGTGACTACTGTAATATATGATATAAAACTCTATCTGTATCTACTACTTACATGCCTTCAAAACCAGAAGCATGGTTATTGTAGGTCACTCTGTGTACTGTATGAAGACTGTCTTGAGTTTTCTATAAGGCTTACTGGGAACTTACCATACCCCATTGTGGTAGTTTGAATGTAATTGCCCCCATTGGTTCGTAGGGAGTGGCACTATTAGGAGGTGTAGCTTTGTTGAAGTAGAGATGGCCTTGTTAGAGGAAGTGTGTCATTGTGGATGCAGTCTTTGAGGTCTCATATATGCTTAAGCCATGCCCAGTGTTTCAGTCCACTTCCTGTTGCCTGTGGGTCAAGATGTAAGAACTCTCTGCTCCTTCTCCAGCACCGTGTCTGCCTGCATGTTGTCTTGCTTCCTGCCACAATGATAATGGACTAACCATCTGAACTGTAAGTGAGCCACCCTCATTAAATGTTTTCCTTTATAAGAGATGCTATGGTCATGGTGTCTCTTTATACAAATATAAACCCTAACTAAGACACCCATAGTTTAACAGTATGTATACAGGTAATATGAATTTGTTACCTATGCAGTTTGGATTCTATTCTCTTTTACTAAGGGGTTGTTGTACAGCACTATCTTCTAAGCCAAATAACTGCTATGACATCACCTGTATCAACTTGCAAAAGGTTGTCATACATGGGCTTGTTGAGTGCTGGTTTGTTAATACCTTGCTTCCCATAATGTGGCTGGGTGCTTTTCCAGAGTAGGAAAGAAGTCTGGAAAGGAAGCAGGTTATGAAGGTCTGAGAACATTATACAAGTTTGTAAAAGGTCAAATTTCAGAACATTGATGTCAAATCTCTGATTTAATCAATCAAGTTATTGGGTTACTTTCTGTAACAATTACAATAACTGGCTTAAAACCAAAAATATACATCTAATTCAAGTTTAAATGTCTGTTTTTTGCCCAAGTTTTATCCAAATATTTCACAGTTCCAGACTGGTGTAACTGATGTAGGTGTTCGGTAAGCATCCTTCGAGGCTGTGGTAATGCTATGTATGGTTGGAGGGATTAAAAGGGAGACTATCTCAGCTAGGTCTCAGGGGACTTTGAGGAATATCTGTAGGGAGTTGGTCACTTGTTCTCTTGTTCAGGGAGGCCATGGACTCTCTCTCTCTCTCTTGGAGTGAAACCTCCCTAAGCACTGCCTCCCCTTGGCATGAACCACTTCGAGTGGCCATTGTCCTTCCCCCTATCATGATGGCATTTGGTGTCCATTTCTGAGAGGCGGGGCATGAAACAGCCAGAGGGACATAGGCAAACTACTAAATCAAAAACAGGCTCTCTGGGACAGCAGCTTCTTGTTCCCAGAAATCATTATGAGAGAAAACAGTGGAAAGGCATACAGGGTGAGTTTCTGAACAGGACCAGTAGAGGAAAGGGGACCATCAAAAGGCCCTATAAAACCTAAATCAATGTCTGTTTAGGGACTTCAAGCCTTACGCCCTTTCCCTCTCAAGGGAATACATTCCCTCTCTCCACAGTGTGCTCTTCTGTCTTTCCCAGGTGTCCAGTTCTTTGTCTGTGCCAGGGAATGGACTCAGAAATCCCCTAGACTGCCATCATCCCTGGTGCATAGCATGTGGTATGATATGTGTGTGTTGTGAATTATGGTAGATGTGGTGTGGTGTGAAGCAGGTATACATAGGCACAAAGTATGCCTTCATTCTAAGGTAGACGTGGACCATGTTTGTTTGGTGCATTGTGGTGTGTAATGTGGGGTGGTATGTGTGTGATATGGTGTGTGAGGGGGTGATGCGTGTGATTTGAGGCACGTGTACCTCACATAAAGCATAAAGCAGATCTTCACACTCAGGCAGACACAGACCCTGTTGATTTAATCTTTCTTAAAAGCATCACAAATGATTTATTTTTTTTTTAGAAAGGAAAAACAAAGAATTCATCACCTCTACTAGGCCCACATGCCAGGTATGCACAGCCCAGTGGAGAGTGGCATGATCCCCAGAGCTGGTAGCAGCTGGACTGCCTGTGGGTGCTTTTGCCCCTGGCTATACAATGTTGGGCACCTCAGCTGATAAGCAGGGAAACTCTGTGCCTGCATAGCGGTCTGCAGTCATGGAGATGAGAACCGGGAAGGCTCTTGGGTCTACACACTCCAAATGTTCTTAATAGAAACAGCAACATGAAATCCAAATAGCTAGGGAAAGCCTACCCAATTGTCCTTGTGAGTGACTCAGAGTACTCACAACAGGCAAAGACATCCAGTTGGAACTCCAGGCACTGGTGAGCTAAAGTGGAGGGTTTTACATCCAGGTATTCTGTGCTGACCTTAGACCTGGGACTATGTGGTGTGTAAGCATCTCTTTCTATGTGACACTGGGAAACAGGGATGTAGGGACATGTATGGGGGAAAGGTCTCTGATTAGGTTTCTTTTGAGACAGCAAGAAGGTATGTGGGGGCAAAACTCTTAAAAGTGTCACCGCCTTCACTGGTACTAGGTTCCCCTTTGTAGTCAGCCCCTCACAAGGAGGACCTGTGGAGGGACCCCTAATCCCCAGAGAATGGCAGAAAATGAGAGATGCTGGGGTACAGTTGGGAGACTCCCACAGATCATCTTTGTGCCCCACAGCTGCCTTGTTCTATGCTGTCATCTCTGTGATATGACTGTTTGGACACCCAGTCCATCCCCTAACAGAGACTGAGTCCTGGAGCTGTCCTGTGTGAGGGTCTATCATGGACCTCTCCTCCTATATAGGCCACATCTCTTCCCCAGGGAGGACTGGTGAGTGCTGGTGGGTGGGCCAAGCAACAGCAGGGGGTATATAGACACCTGGGCCTTGCTCCAGGCCAGCCTGGACTCTGGTGGGGTAGCAAGAGTCTGGAGGTGGGAGGAGGGAAGAGGGGGGAGGGGGAGGGGGGCACTGGCTTCAGTTTCAAGGCAAAAGGTGAATTGTGCCAGCTCACAGCATCGACCTGTGCTGGGCCCCTGACTCGGCAGTGGGAGCAGTCTGCAGGCACCCTGCATGGGAGGAGCAGAGAGCTGACCCTGGAGCTACCTCTGCTGCCTTCTTTCTGTGACCCTGGAAAGGCCACCAGTCTCTGGGTTCTCTACTTCATTTTACTGGGAGATGCTGCCCTCCCACACTTTTATTCTGGTTGGTTCTACATGGGTCTCTCAAACCATAAGGCATCGAAGCCTGATGTTTGCAGCTAATGTGCCTTTCCGGGGCCTGGCCAGAAGCCAGTCATCTACCTAGGGCCAGTGGAAGGGCACATCCTATTAGTTGAACAAGAACTGCATGTAGGGGTCCCTTCCTTTCTTGTCCCCCATCCCACCCCCACCCCATAGCCCTGAGGGAAAACCAGAGGATCTTTGCCCCTCTAAGCCCAACCCTGGGCATCCTGAAAAGGGGGTTCTGAGAGTGGGATTCTGACAGGATTTAGATGGCTTCTATTGCCTGGCCTTGAAAACAGAAAGTAAAGAAAAGAGCCCCCAAACTCAAGTAGCTCTACCTAGGCAGGTATTTACACTGCAGTGGAGTGAGTGGCTGTCTGCAGGGTGGTTCTGAGGAGGCCTGACCCATAGACTTCCTGACTCTGGGTTCCTCTGCAGGGACAGAGAATGTGGGGCCAGGGCTGACAGGTCTATGGGTCTGGTACTGGGGGTAGCTGTAGGCTCACCCTATGTTCAGCTCCAGGCAGGAGAAGCCAGGCCTGAGCTGCATTTATAAATTGGAGCAGCCAAGGCAGCATGTTCAGGTCTAAGGACTGTGATGCCTCAGAGTCAAAGGTTGGGACTTTGTGTGGTACCACAGGCCTGTGTCCAGGTGGGTCATGAGTTGGCTGCCCCAGGATCTCATGGGCCAGCTGGGGCTGACAGGGAGAGATGTCTGTCCTCTGAATGGGGACAGCTAGAGGAGATGGCCTTTCCACGGGTCTCAGGGGGGCATCATTCCAGCTGCACTTGTGGTCCTGCACCCTCTGTGGAGGAAGCAGGAAGAGAGTGTCCTGGCCAGCTGGTGCCATCAGCCCACCAGGTAGCTATGCATCTCACGTGAGTTGATACTCAGGACCACACCTGAGTGGTTGCCTAGGAAACAAAAGGAAGCAGCCCATTAGTGGAGATGGCAGGAAACAGATCACCCAGGAACACAAGTGACCTCAGCAGCACATAGAGCCAACATGCAGTGCACACCATGACATCCCCTATGCCTGGTGCAAGGTGGGGGGTGGGGTCTCCAGTGTCCTAGGTGGTGACAAGAGGGAAGTGCCAGGTGCCACCACAAGCAGTGGTCCAGAGGACTGTGCAGTGAGGCACCCACTGACCTGCGTGAGGGCTACCCCTGGCATCGGCAGCAAGGGGGCGCAGGAAGGACTGAGGCTCTGCCCCCTCTTGGCAAAAAACACTGTGGCATGAGGTATGGACCAGGAGGCAGGGAGGGAGATGGGAGCCACAGAGGAGAGAGAGGGAACACAGTAATGGTCAAAGACAGGTTAATAGATGTCCCTGTGTGGGATGCATTATGAGACCAGGGGATGTTCTCCATAGAACTTGTCTCCCTCTCTTGCTGTCTGCACAAAACGGATGGCACTGGTAGGAAGGGGCTGGCACTACCAAGGCTGTGGGGGCCAGGTCTGGGATTACTTGAATGTTCATGTGACTCTCCATTAGGGTCTCCCACCTCACTGGCCCTAGTTAATCTGTGACATCAGTTGTTAGGGAACCAAAGAGAAGAACTGTCATAGGCAGTCCCTACTCCATGCCAAGGTCCCCATTAACAGTGTCCTATAACTATTACCAAGAATTTCCATATAGCACGTAGCTGTGGGATAAAGGACTACCATCTTCCTGAGACCCCATATCTTCCTAGCATAGTCTATGATTTCCTTGCATGAGAGTAGGGCCTGGCTATCTGGGCAGTGTTTAGGGCTGCAAAGCACAAGGCTAAACAAGGCTACGCACAAGGCTATCTCCCTCCAGCTCTCTCTTGTCATATGGTCGATTCAAAGGCTGAGTTCCAGCTACCCATCTGCAAACACTGCAACACCAGCTGCTCCTAGGGTCAGATGATGGCCAGAAGTTCTAAGGTCTGGGACCTCCTGCACACTTAGTAAGTCACTGGTGGGGTTACAGCCCCAGAGGCTGTAAATCTGAGAGATGCTGATCAATACTCTTGGGCTGGCTGATGTGCGAAGTGGCTGGTTGGGGTGAGGAAGCTGCCCTAGCACTGAGAAGGCCTGGAAGATGCAGGATGGGGCCAGATTGACCTTTCTGGGATCCAAGGTCAGTCACCAACAGCTAGAGATGCCACCCAGGGTGACTAAAGACCTTTCAGGGTCACTAATTCTCAAGGTGAGGGCCATCATGACCCTGAGAACCAACAGACTGGGATACATGTGGTCTTTAAGGTGAATGCCTGTGACAGGTAACTTTGACAAAGCCCTGCTGTGTGCCACACTCTGCCTAGACACCCCAGTGGAATGCTCACTGCCACTGAGGGTGAGTAGGCAGTGGTGCCCATCAACACCAAAGGGGCAAGGGTAGGGCCTGTGTGGGACAGGTTCAGGGCAGTAGGGCTCTGGTTAGACCTGGACACTGTTCCAGCTAAGGAGCTACATGGAGAAAATTACATAAGGGTATTGCTGGAGATGGAGAGAGGTGCTACAGCCAAGGTGACAGGCCCGATCCTCTCCTTGTGGGTATGAGGTATGACAGGAAGGAATTCACCTTGGTGAAAATCCTGTGTAAACAGTGAAGCCCTGTCCTGAGGGTCCACAAACACAATGCTTTTGAACTCTGTGTTTTCAGTAAATGGTTAATGGGAGTGTGAAGGGAGTGGGGGCAGCTTTAGACTCCTGTGAGGGAGGTCCCTGTCTCTATAAGAGTTGTTCAAGATGACCACCCACTGCCAGGAGATTGCCCTCAGACACCTCTGACTTCACCCTGTATGGCCCCTGGGCTCTGTCTTTACTGTGTCAGGACTCATGGCCCAAAGACACTGTCTAGCAGAGCTGGCCTGACCCTTGTCTCCTGGGCTCTGATGGACCCCTATGTGGTAAGGGCAGGCAGGTCACCATGCCCCAGCTCCTACCCTGCATGGTGCTCTGGGTACTCTCACTGTGGCTCACGGGGCTTGTCATCTCCTGTTCCTTCTCGTTGTGCATCTGGGCGTACACCGTCCTGCCCGGGCGTTTCCTGCTGGTCAGAGATACAGCTCAGTTTTTAATGAGCCCTTGGCCCCAAGGCCCTTGTGGGGCATGGTATAGACAGTGTCACTCAAGACTGTTCCCTGGGGAGCCCACCCTCCAGTTAGCTCCCTCCACCCAGTTCTGCTGTCCACTGCTAGCCACATATAGTCACCTACCTTTTCTTTATCTGGCATAGTATAACTATTGAAGCTCTGTCCTCTTTGCCTCCTATGTCCACAGCCAGGACAGTAACACCACACACACACACACACACACACACACACACACACACACTTGTTGAACTCT